CTGACGCGCTTGAAGCTATCACGGTGCGCTAGAAGCCGTGGCTTGGAAGGTTGCCAACTGACGGTGTAACTTGGACCTCCTCCTTGACCGGAGGCGGTCTGAGAGTCAGGCTGCAATTGCTCCTTTTTAATGTGGCCTTTATGGCACTCCCATCACAGTGTGGGATCCGAGCCAGGCGTTGGCGGCACGCCCAGGTGCGGCTTCGGCCGTGCCAGCCTCCAAATCTCTGTTGTGTCGGTTGAAATCCTGGTTATTTGTTGTGTGGACCAGGGGGTGTGGTGGAACGCCAAGGTGAGGATCCGTCCGAGTCATCCACCTGCGGCCTCTCTCGTCTCCGGTCTTCTTGACTCTGTCTTGACACCGGGCTCGGGCGAGGGAGGAGGAGAGAGTGTAGGTTGATGCTACGCAAGTCTACCGGCACTATAAACCCCTGCGTAAGTCACCGTCCCTGCTCCCACTGCTGCTGCAACTGTGGGGCACACGGTGGACATAATCGAAACCGATGGTCGAACTGTCAAGCGGACAAAATGAAAGAAAACACAGAAATCGCCTGGATTTATGCCAAAGTCGTATCCTACACTATTGTACGACAACGGAAGTGAAAGCAGTAATTAAACAATAAACAAAAGGCAAATTTCACGAAATAACGGATTTTGAGTTAATGTGTGAGGTCGTGGGAAGTAATCGTTGTTGGCAGTGTAATTTTTGCGACAGCCTGCAAATGTGTGCCAATACAAAACCCAATATGACACGATCCACAGTCTACTGACAGTTAAGTGGGGTCCTTCCCCATACCGTTGCCGCACAACTTTACTACCTGTCTAAACCAGTAAAAATGCCTTTTTTGACTTTTATTCGGGCAGTTGAGGGTTTTCGGCTCTATCACAAGGTGAGCAGATTCATAATTTAGATGGGAAATATATCCCTCATTTTAAGTTTTCGTGTTCAATTTGACAAGTGCCATTCTTCAATGATCTGCCAAAATTTTCAAATGATATTCGGCACACAAAACGTCGACAGGAATGAGATGTCTCATCCTCCCCAGTTGTTGTTGAAACAAGCCAAAAGGATGAAGTTGCCTAAGTTGACTGCTAACGGAGGCGAACAGGTGGGACAAACATTCACAACGGGACGAGTTTGACCCCAAAGGGCGATAATTTGTAGCTGACTGGGTAAACTATTGATCGCGGCGCTTCCGGCGGCTTTAAATGTCCCTTAGCGTATCCCCGTAGTGCAAGCATTAACCCGGGGGATCAGCCACCGCACAATACCACAACCGTTACATCTGGCAAAGACACGGTCGTGTAAGGGACTTGGGGTCATGTGCTAAATTTCGAAGGAGATTATGGCTGGGGTTAGTGTCAGAATTAGGGTCATGAGGGTTACGGTTAGTGTCAAAATTAGGACATGGCATACGAACCCTCTGTAATTCAGCGCAAAGCCACTTGTACTAGGAGGGGGCGGGCATTTAGCCCCATTTTCAACCTGACTTTTGACCGGCAATCAGAAATCGTTGTCTTGAACACCTCTACATGATGCCGAATGAGGTCAGTCTACCATTCAACGATGGCGGATTGTCTAATGTCGAAAAGTCAGATCGACAAACGTTCACTTATGGAAATTCCTACTTTCTTTTATTCTTCCTCGTGTATTACAACTTTCGTAGTCCTTACCGTTATGGTGCTTTTACTACAAAAAGCTGACTATCGAGCCTTTTGGCGGAAGCAGAGCAAAACATTCGGGCGTGGACGAAGGCCTGGATGAGCCACTATACGTCGAGAATTACTCCTTCAAATACTTCGCCATTGGACGCATTCACAATTGCCGACGTCTGCATTAGTCATGTACAGACGAGATCTTTTGTCCCTCTTTACTGTTCAACGAATATCATCAATGTGCAAAGTAACTTCATCGTCATTTGCTGATAAGGCTTTATTTAACCCTTTTATACTTTGGAAAAAATGGCGCGGATCTACAGTTTGACTATCGATTATTTCGATGTCCAGCGTGTGTCCCACGACAGGGTAGCCACAGGGACGGTGACTTACGCAGCATCTATTGCACTCCCTCCTCCTCCAGCCCACCTGGGCCTGGTGTCGTGAGGGAGTCTAGAAAACAGGAGGTGGGAGAGGCTGATGCGGCGCGAACTCGCGCCGTGGTGTGCCACAGCACCTCCTGGTTCTACACACAAACGACCAGAATTTCACACAATAAGAAAAGAAAGTGGGGGCGGCTCGAGCTCCAGTGGGTGAGATTGCCATAGAGGCCAAATTAAAAAGTAGTCATTGCACTCTGACTCTCAGTCCAACAGTTGGCCACTCAACGCACAAACACACTGGACTGGCTGCGTGGTCTGAGTTGGGCCGGAAGTGGGCAAATTTTTAGGTCACGCTCGGGCCACCTGCGCTGCGCGCCCACTCCGTGGAGCAGGCGGCGGACGTCGTCGCTTGCGACAGACTAACTATCGAGGCAAATAATCCAGAAGCAGTCCTACGTTTTGCGACCGAAGCTCTATCGATTATCGGTTGCGCGTCGTTAGAAGGCCCCATGAGATTGCAGTATCTAGGGCACCTGTATTTCTACACGGCGGGTCCTATCATCGGGGAGGGTGTGGTTTTGAATCATACACCAGAGTACTTACAGTAGGTGGGCTAACTCATGTAATGTCAACCGAAATTCCGAAATGAGTTTTCGTTTAGAAAAGATTAACTAACGAGGGTTGTAAAAGTAGTCAGTCTGCAACATGATTCTGTAATATTTCAGCTACCTCGGAAATCCGGCTTTTGAATGAACTTCCTTGCGGCTGCATGCAAAAACCACACTGTAAAAAATGACTACTTGAGTAGCCTGAATTTTTCTCATGGATTTTCGATGCCCATAAAAGTCTTATTATATTTCATGGAAAACATGCATAAAAATGCTTACTCTTTTGTTCATTCTGTGGAGAATTACCTCTTCTTCCAATTTTATGATCGAATGAGGGACATAATTCCGTTTTAAAAAAGTCTCCTAGTTCCCGAATAATTTTGAACCCGCCCTACCGTAACACTTGGATTCAGGGTTTCCAAACTACAAGCCGTATATTTTCTGCGTACGGAAAACCACACATTTCTGTACGATAATAAAGGGAGACCATATAGAGTTCATAAAATTAAGCAGTGGATTTGGTCCATATTCTTAACTTTACAAGCCCCATTGATAAATACAGAGATATGACGATTTATGAATGGCCATTCCACGGTATTTAAAAGTCCCACAATTAGAAACTTATTAAAACCGAATTATGTCCCTCAATAGAGCATAAAATTAGAAGAAGACGTAGTTATTTGCCGAATGTGCGAAAGAATTGATATTTTTATGCGTGTTTACCATGAAATATAATTGGACTTTTAGGGGCATCAAAAATCAATGAGAAAAATTCATGCTACTTAAGCAGTCATTTTTTACAGAGCATAGTTCTTGCGTGCAGCCTGAAGGAAGTTCATTCGAAAGCCGGCATCCTGAGGTAACTGAAATATTATAGAATTATGTTGTAGGCTGACAAGTTTTACAACCCTACTTAATGAATCTTTTCGAAACGAAAACTCATTTCGGAATTTCGGTTGACATTTCATGAGTTAGCCCACCTACTGTACTTCAGTGTTCGATGACAAGAAAGTCAAATGAGCCATACTGAGCTATAGTTTTACTCGGCTTTTGCAAAAGGCATGGCAAAATTCAGAAGAAGAAATCCTGAGTGATGTTGGCAACCTCGTGTGTTTCGATGAGATCAACACCGAGGCGCCTGGAGAAGGTGCTTTTGAGGCCTAACGCAGCTCACCGATGTTACAGCGAACTAACGAGTCATGTCCTTTGTTATGGTACTTGATCAGGAATTTTCATGTCACGTGAAAGGTAACAAAATCAGCCGATGAGCATTATTCGAGATGAGGTCTACCAAACGTCATTTAAAGAGATAAATAATTTGGTCCGATGAGAAACTGGAAACGTCTTCGAATGGGAGAGAGCTCCTGGTGTGCCTTTGCAGTAACTGTCGGTCACCGCCACAGACAGCTTGCTTTGAGTGACGTCAAACAGAATGTTTTAAGGGAATGCTTCAGGTGACATCGTTCTCGGAGTACTTAGACGGCCCCAACTTCCTCTCCGATCGCTTCTGTGAGCATCATCAAAGGACGAAGGCAATAAGCGAAAGGTTGCGTCGAAAATGCTGTCAGCATCTATGGAATGTTAATTAGGTCTTCCCACTTTAAAGTGATTTTTCAGGATTTTCGTGGAAAATCCCTGAAACAGGAAATTTCCGGAGAAAGCGCCAACTCGTTAAAATGAATCATGGCCCTTGAAGTAAAGAGGAGCTCTCAAAAGCGACCCATCAGTGAATTGGTGGACGTGCAAGATCGATAGCCTATCCGTTTGTCGAAATGGTTGCGTGCAGATTTAAAGGTCTTCATAGTGCCAAACTGGCTTCAACATTTCGTTATCAGTGAAATACTTGGACGTGTTTTTCAAGGCCAGACTTGCCCCTGGTTGATAAACCAGTCAGATTTCACAGTTTCTATTAAGCAGATCCTTTTAATGCTTACTGGCCCTCATTTGTGAACGGCTCGCCTCTTCAAGCCTGATTCGGCATGTCGCTGTGAGCAATGCGGAGCAGATCCGTTCTCCAGGCTGCATTAGTTTCCTTGAGACAATAGTGGCCATGACACTCAGTAAG